ACTAATGCACCAGCAACGTTCATGGACCTTATTAATAGAGTCTTCAAACCTTATTTAGATATCTTTGTTATCGTTTTCATTGATGACATACTAATCCATTCAAGGAATGAAGAGGATCATGCTAGCCATCTCAGAATAGTTCTTCAAACTTTGAAAGATAAGGAGTTGTATGCCAAGTTCTCTAAGTGTGAGTTTTGGCTTGAGTCTGTGGCATTCTTGGGCCACATAGTTTCTGGTGATGGAATTAAAGTTGATACTCAGAAAATTGAAGCAGTGCAGAATAGTCCTAGACCACATCTCCAACTGATATTAGGAGTTTCTTGGTTTAGCTAGCTATTATAGAAGGTTTGTAGAGGGGTTCTCGTCTATTTCGTCTACTTTGACGAAGTTGACTCAGAAAACAGTGAAGTTTCGATGGTTTGAAGCTTGTGAGAAAAGCTTCCAGGAATTGAAGAAAAGGTTGACTACTGCCCCAGTTTTGACCTTACCAGAAGGTACTCAAGGTTCTGTGGTGTATTGTGATACATCTAGAGTTGGTCTGGGTTAGGTCTTAATGCAGAATGGCAAAGTTATAGCTTATGCCTCCAGACAGTTGAAAGTTCAAGAGAAGAATTATCCAACCCATGATCTAGAGTTGGCTGTTGTAGTTTTCGCTTTGAAGATATGGCGCCATTATTTGCACGGTGTTCATGTGGATGTGTTCCCCGATCACAAGATCCTTCAATATGTGTTCACTCATAAAGAGCTCAATATCAAACAGAGAAGGTGGCTAGAGTTACTCAAGGACTACGACATGAGTAGTCTATACCACTCAGATAAGGCTAATGTGGTTGCTGATTCCTTGAGCAGGTTGTCTATGGGTAGCACATCCCATGTTGAAGAAGGAAAGAGAGAGTTAGCAAAAGATGTGCACAGACCAGCACGCCTGGGAGTCAGACTTATGGATTCCACAGAAGGAGGAATACTGGTGACGAGTGGGGTCGAGTCATCATTAGTGTCAGAAGTGAAAGAGAAGCAAGAACAAGACCCTATTTTGCTTGAATTGAAGTCAAATGTTCATAAGCAACAAGTATTAGCTTTTGAACAAAGGGGAGATAGTGTTTTGAGATATCAAGAGGTAGACTGTGTGTACCTATGGTGGATGGACTTCAAGAGAGGATCATGGAGGAAACTCATAGCTCCAGATATTCCATTCATCCGGGTTCCACAAAGATGTATCATGACTTGAGAGAGGTTTATTGGTGGAATGGCATGAGGAAGGGCATTGCTGAATTTGTCGCTAAGTGTCTAAATTGCCAACAAGTGAAAGTTGAGCACCAAAGGCCCGGTGGTTTGGCACAGAATATAGAACTTCCAGAATGGAAGTGGGAGATGATTAATATGGACTTCATCACAGGTTTACCAAGGTCTCGCAGGCAGCATGATTCTATTTGGGTGATTGTCGACAGAATGATAAAATCAACCCATTTTCTACCTGTTAAGACTACCCATTCAGCAGAAGATTATGCCAGGTTATATATTCAAGAGGTGGTAAGACTTCATAGAGTCCCAGTCTCCATTATTTCAGATAGAGGTGCACAATTTACTACACAATTCTGGAAATCTTTTCAGAAAGGGTTGGGTTCCAAGGTGAACTTAAGTATTGCCTTTCATCCTTAGACTGATGGTCAAGTAGAGTACACTATTCAGACATTAGAAGATATGTTGAGGGCATGTGTGATTGATTTTAAAGGGAATTGGGATGATCACCTACCTCTCATTGAGTTTGCTTAAAACAACAGTTACCACGCTAGCATCTGAATGGCTCCATACGAAGCTCTTTATGGGAGAAGATGCAGATCTCCTATTGGATGGTTTGAAGTTGGTGAAGCAGAGTTGATAGGACCAGATTTAGCTCACCAAGCTATGGAGAAGGTGAAAGTGATTCAAGAAGGGTTGAAAACGGCACAGAGTCGACAAAAATCCTACACTGATGTTAGGAGAAGGGCGTTAGAGTTCGAAGTAGATGATTGGGTATATTTGAAAGTTTCACCCATGAAGGATGTTGTGAGGTTTGGTAAGAAGGGGAGGCTTAGTCCCCAGTATATTGAACCTTATCGCATAGCCAAGAGGATTGGCAATGTAGCTTATAAGTTGGAGCTGCCACAGGAGTTAGTCGCGGTTTATCCGGTATTTCACATCTCCATGTTGAAGAAGTGCATGGGCGATCCTTCATTGATTATACCAACTAAAAATATTGGGATCAAGGATAGTTTATCCTATGAGGAGATCCCTGTCCAGATTCTAGATCGTCAAGTTTGAAAATTGAGAACAAAAGAGGTAGCATCAGTCAAGGTCCTTTGGAGGAACCAATTTGTTGAAGAAGCTACTTGGGAAGCTGAAGAGGATATGAAGAAGAGATATCCACATCTCTTTGAATCTGAAGAAACTACAAATCAAGGTACTAATTTTCTTCTTAGTGCTCTTTAAATTATGAGTGAGCATGTTGTTTGTTTGCATTTACTTTTGGGATGGTTGAACTTGATGTTACCACCCTTCGCCTATTAAGGGTAATCTCATTCGAGGACGAATGTTCCCAAGTGGGAGATATTGTAACATCTCGCAATTTGAAATAACTAGAAAAAAGTGTAAAATCTGGAAATAGTCATTTTTGGAAAGTGTAAGGAAATCTGGAAAATTTTAAGTATGTTAAAGTGAGTTTTTGGTCAACTTCAAATGACCATAACTCCTAGCTCATGATGAGTTAGGTGTAGTTCTAGATATGGTTAGAAATATCTTGGAATGATCTTTCAAACGCTGTTGAGTTTGCGCAATTTCGATATTGTATGAGTAAGTTATGCCTTTCGGAAGTTGGGCTGTTGGATTAAGAAATGTCCAATCCGGATTTTTGAAGGGTAGTTTGGTCTTTTCCTTACCCAATTAATTAAATCCATTTTAGTAAATTAAGTGGGGTCAAAACTGAGTTAGTTCAGTTTATGCTTTTGAAAAATAGAATTAGGGCTTTTGGAGAAAGAACGCAAGAGAAAGGAGAAGAGGAAAAACAAGATTCACCAAGAACAACGATTTTGGTTGTGGATTCGCCAAGGAATTGATCCTATAAGGTATGTGAGTCTCTCATAGCATTGCGTTCATCCACCTACATTCCAAGTATGTTTAATTCAGCGAGATTCGTCCGAGAAGAGTTGGAAAATTGATGTTCTTGACAAATATTCTTGAATTCGAATGTTGTTAGCGAAGTAGAACGAATTGAGAAGTTTATGAGATCCTTACATTGAGTATAGGGTTGCTTTGAGTTAGTTTCTTGAGTATACATGCTGGGCATCGGGAGTTAAAACGAATTTGAGGAAGATAATCGAATTTAGGTGGTTTGAGGTTGAAAAACGAAGAAGAAAAAGTCGAGTAAGGTTCATGAAACAAATCCACGTCGTGGACTTGTTCCCCCAGTGAACAAAAATCTGCACCGTGTCGCGGAGAGGATGCGGATTCCACTGTCTCAAATTTTAATTTCGCGAATAATTATTTAGGAACACCTCCACGTCGCGAACTTGTTCCAAGACGGTGATTTCGTAACTTTTCTCAAGTTTAGGTATTCGAAATCATTCCTAAACATCAAGAGTCCTTTCCTATCACAAATCATGATCCTTGAATCCATAATTCAATTCAAGGAAATTTAAGAGTCAATTCAAAGGAAGTTAAGAGTCAAGTCAAGTGAAGTCATCAAAGTTTCAAGGGTCTTTTACAAATGTTTTAACTTTGTTTTAAGACTTAAGTTTCAAGTTAACCAAAGAGTAAAGAGTTGAGTTCATTTCTCAAAAAGCTATTAGGGAACTAAGTATTCCCAAAGAGTTTATAAATGTTTTCACATTTCAGCAAGAAAAGGGAACATCGATTCCAAGAGGGCTTTTAAGCTAAGTTTTGAGTAATTATCTCAAACCAAAGAAAGAAGTTGTTTTAAAAAAACATATCAGCTACGTATATTTTTGGGAGTAGTATTGAGCACCGATATGGGGATGCGAGTTCATATTAACTCAAGTCTCCATAAACCATGTAGTCATCATGGGTATTAATGGGTCATACTTTTTAGATGATCACATAAGTTAAGCTAGTGGATCCACTAAGTTAAGCATTCTATATGACGGCAAAGTATAGGATAGTTCTGGCAGCGTGGACAAGACGTTGTATCACCACTTAGGCTCATAGTGGTGGTTGTCGGTTAGAGAATCTCCCACAGAAACTATATTATTTTATTATATGAGTAAAATTGAGTTTGTTAATGCATTTCCTTTTATGAACTAAGTTGCTTTTACTGTTTTATAAAGCTTTTTCATATATTGCATGTGTTCATTGCTTTATTCTAAGTTAAGTTATTCATGAGTTGAGAAGAGCCAAGGTAAGTGTTTCTTTCAGAATCTTTTCAAGCCTTTGTTTTTGTTTAGCATTCCAACTCGCATACTCGTACATTCAATGTATTGATACCAGTTGGTCTGCATCATCTTATGATGCAGACGCAGGTAACCAGGATCATCATCCAGCGCCTCGTTGATCCAGTTGAGCACTCAGAGTCAGTGGTGAGCCTCCTTGCTTTCTGAAGGACTCTTTTATTCTCTTTTTAGTCTTTCTTTATTAGGATGTTGAGGGGTCTGTCCCAACATCCATCTCAGTATTATAGAGGCTTCATAGACAGTCAAACAGTTAGTTATGAGTCTCTCATCTTTGTATTGCAGATTTTTTGCTATGAGGCTTGGGTTGCCATTTTGGCCAAGTTGAATGTTTAATTCTTCTAACATTCTAAGTTATACTATTAAGCTATTTGAGTAAGTTAATTTGATCAATATAATCATGCTTAGACTCTTCCGCTGAGCTTAGTAAGCCAGGCCAAGGGTTCGCTTAGGGCCAGCAATGGTTCTCGAGTGTCAGTTCCACCCAGGGTGTAGTCTCGGGGAGTGACAGATTTACCAGGTCTTCTGCCTGATCGTGATATTGATTTTTGTATTGACATAGAACCAGGCACTCAGCCTATTTCCATTCCTACTTATCGTATGGCACCCGCCGAATTGAAAGAGTTGAAGGAAAAATTGCAGGATTTGTTATGCAAGGGATTTATAAGACCGAGTTATCTCCTTGGGATGCTCCAGTGTTATTTGTGGAAAAAAAAAGATGGATCCATGCATATGTGTATATACTATCGACAGTTGAACAAGGTCACCATTAAAAATAAGTACATGATACCTTGTATTGATGATTTATTTGATCAGCTGCAGGGTGCTTCAGTTTTCTCCAAGATTGACTTGAGATCCGGTTATCATCAGTTGAAGGTTAGGGTGGAGGATATCCACAAGACATCTTTTCGAACACGTTATGGCAATTATGAGTTTCTGGTAATGTCTTTTGGATTGACAAATGCCCCAACAACTTTTATGGATTTGATCAACGGAGTGTTCAGACCATACTTGGATTCTTTTGTAATTGTCTTCATAGATGATATATTGATATACTCCCGTAGTAAGGAGGAACACGAGCATCATTTGAGGATTGTGCTTGGAATTTTGAAGGAGAAGAATCTCTATGCAAATTTTCAAAGTGTGAGTTTTGGCTTAGTTCGGTATCGTTCTTGGGACATGTAGTGTCCAAGGAAGGTATTATGGTGGATCCTAAGAAGATTTGAGGCAGTTCGAGATTGGGTCAGACCTGCTTCAGTTACTAAAATTTAGAGTTTCTTAGGCCTTGCAGGTTATTATCGACGATTTGTAAAGGGGTTCTCATCCATTGCATCCCCATTAACTAGATTGACCCAGAAAGAAGTGACTTTTCAATGGTCTGATGAGTGTGAGGTGAGTTTCCAACAACTCAAGACTTTATTGAGTAGTGCTCTGATTTTAACCTACCCGTGGAGGGAGAGGGTTTCATTGTATATTGTGATACTTCTTGGATTGGTCCTGGTTGTGTATTGATGCAAAAAGGGAAGGTGATATCTTCGAGGCAATTGAAGATTCACGAGAAGAACTACCCTACTCATGACTTGGAGTTGGCGATTGTAGTGTTTACATTGGAGATTTGGAGGCATTACCTTTATGGGGTACATTGTGAGGTGTTCAGGATCATCATAGTCTCCAGTATATATTCAATCAGAGGGATCTATATTTGAGGCAACGGAGATGGTTGGAGTTGCTCAAAGACTACGACATGACTATTCTTTATCATCCGAGCAAGGCAAATGTGCTAGCAGATGCCTTGAGTCGAAAGACGGTAAGTATGGGTAGTTTAGCCTTGTTATAGTTTTGTGAGCACCCTTTCGCTAGGTATGTCCAGTCCTTGGCCAATAACTTTGTGATGCTTGATATTTAAGAATCTAGTAAGGTTTTGGCTTATGTGGAGGCTAGGCCATCCTTGTTGGAGCAAATTCGAACTCAACAATTTGATAATGGTGATTTTTGTAAGATTCGAGACAAGGTGTCAAAAGGAGAAGCCAAGGATGCAATTCTTGATAGAGAGTGTGTTTTGAGGATAAAAGGTCGTATTTGTGTTCTTCGGACTGGTGATTTGACTAGACTGATCATGGATGAGGCACTTAGTTCAAGGTACACTATTCATCCGAGGGCTACTAAGATCTATCATGAGTTGAAGAAGCTTTATTAGTGGTGTAGTATGAAGAGGGACATAGTAGATTTTGTATCTCGGTGTTTAAATTGTCAGCAAGTAAAGTATGAACACCAAAAGCCTGGAGGTGTAACTCAGAGGATGCCCATACCTGAGTGGAAGTGGTAGCGTATTGCTATGGACTTTGTCGTAGGGTTTCCACGTACCTTGGGTAAGTTTGATTCTATATGGGTCATCGTGGATCGATTGACTAAGTGTGTACACTTCGTACCAGTTCAGACTACCTAAAATTCAGAGAAGTTAGCCAAGATCTATATTTGAGAGATAGTTCGTTTGCATGGAGTCCCCATTTCTATTATTTCAAATCGTGGTACACAATTTACATCTCATTTTTGGCGGTCTATGCAGAAGGAGTTGGGCACTCGGGTGTATCTTAGTACAGCCTTTCACCTTCAAACCGATGGTCAGTATGAACAAACTATTCAGGTTCTTGAGGACATGTTGCGGGTGTGTGTGATCGACTTTGGTGGTCACTCGGATCAGTTCTTGCTATTAGCGGAGTTTGCTTACAATAATAGTTACCATTCGAGCATTGAGATGGCACCATTTGAGGCTTTGTAGGGTAGGAGATGTCGATCTCCAATTGGTTGGTTTGATGCATTTGAGGTTAGACCGTGGGGTACAGATCAGCTATGGGAGTCCTTGGACAAGGTTAAGTTGATCCAAGATAGACTTCTCATGGCTCAGAGTAGGCAAAAGAGTTATGCGGATCGGAAGGTTTGTGATTTGGAGTTCATGGTTAGAGATCGGTTCTATTGAAGGTTTCACTCATGAAGGGTATGATGAGATTTGGAAAGAAGGGCAATTTGAGCCCAAGGTATATTAGTCCTTTCGAGATTGTTGAGCATATTGGTAAGGTGGCGTATGAGTTGGTTTCGCCACCTGGCTTATCGGGTGTTCATCCTGTATTTCATATTTCGATGCTGAAGAAGTATCATCAGGGTGGTGCTCATGTGATTCAATGGGATTTAGTGTTACTTGATCAGAATTTGACTTTTGAGGAGGAGCCAGTAATCATTTTGGATAGGAAAATTTGGAAGTTGAGATCGAAGGAGATTGCTTCAGTAAAGGTTCAATTGAAGCATCATCCAGTGGAAGAGGCTACATGGGAGACCGAGTCAGACATGAGGAGTAGATATCCTCAACTTTTTTAGCGTTCAGGTACGATCTATTCTTTCACTGTTCGAGGCACTAGGACTATTTTGACTCTTCCCGTAAAATTTAAATGGAAATTTTAAACTATACGGTGACTACGAGTATTTAGTTGATGAATTTTTGTTAAAGAATTAATATAGTTGAATAGTTAATGGGCCAAGTCCATAATTATTTTTTTGATACCCTTTAACCACTTAGCCCATGTTTACAATTAAATTAACTAAAAAGGGATTTATTGTTCTTTTACACATAAATCAAACAAATTGCGGTTGAAATTTCTCTGAGAGAACTTGATCTCAGCGTCGACAACATTCAATTTACTGCTTCAGGTATTATTAAGCCTTATTTATCTCAATCTTTGGTTTAAATGGAATGAGTTATGAATAGTGGGTTACTGGTATACTTTAATGTACTACTATTTAATGGAAAAGAATTGGAATGCTAATTTAATTGGAATTTATCGATTTCTGTGAAACTCTTCTTTTACTTTGAAGGAGAATCTTTATACATTGAACAATGGTTATTCATTAGAAGATAATTACTATGGTGATGATTTGAGTGGGATAGTGCATGTGGATTAAAATACCGTAAATAAGTTAATTGCTCCAAAGTAGGTTTTAGCGTTAATTTAGGTGTGCGTTGGTCCAATGATTTTAGGTGTATACTTTAATATACATTTTTAAAAGTGTTTATGCCAAGAATGGCTAGGGTAAATTGAGGTAAGGCTATTTTTCAATCACTGCTGCTTCTGGATCCATTGTTACTTTTAGTATTATAATTTAAATGGTTACTACTTCGGTACAAAAATAGTGAAATATTTGAGTTATATAATGGGATGTCTTGTGAATCCTTTTACTTACAAATAAGAGGTATATTATATTATATGAATACTATTAGATCTATGATATTTTGGATGAATTAAGACTTAATCCTAGACTAAAAATTTAGGAATATGAATTTGACATATTAGTGACATCAAGATATATGAAGTTGGTTATAGATTTGGGAGAGTTTTTGGGTCTAGGATAAGCATCTGGTAATGTGGGTGTCTATGGACACGTTTACTTATAAATTTTACTCATTTTGATAGATTAGAAATATTCGGAAGCTTTACGAAAGGGGAAGGAAAAATCTTGAGGATTCCTGACACGTGTTCCACATTTAAGGTATGTTAATAATTTTTAGACTTCGTTGAGGGACGTTTTCTAATTAAATATTAAAAATGAAATAGATACTGGGTAAGGGAAAAAGATAGGGGTCTCGTACCAATGGTGTGACGGGCATTGGTACGAGTACCAGTGTTATAAAGGGAAACTTTATTACTATAGGATGCGGATTGTAATCCGAGAATGCCAAAGCATATGGGCATTAGCTGATATATTATTGAATGATTTATTATGTGTGATTGTGTTCTTTATTGAACCTATATACTTGTGATAGCTGAGGTGATTACATATCATATTGATATTTGATTGAGATTCATCATCATTCCTTTTCATTTATATCATATTATGCACACACATTGACATGAGATTGAGTATAATTTGGGCACGTGGAGATCATCCGTGTTGGGGATGGTGAGATATTAAGATTAAAATTTGGGCACGTGGAGATCGTCAGTGGGGAAATGGTTTGATTTTATGATAGTGCGTTGAGATCATCCGCACAGACACGTGGAGATCGTCTGTATCGGTATATGGACCTCGCAAGTCCCCCATGGGTCATGAACTCTCGATGTAATTTCGAGGAGTATCATGTATATACAATTGAGAGAGTACTTGGCATCTGAGGCATTTCATTTCATGGTGTCACATTGCATTGTATCTCAGTACATCATTTATTCTTGTTGATTACGTGCTTATTGGTGGTTGTACATTACGTGAAGTTCGATTATCCTTATTGATGAAACTTGACTTGTAAGTATAATATAGACTTGTATAAGTAGAGAACTGATTTTCTCATATAAACTCTTGTCACCACTTCTTCGTTCTCGGTCTATGAGATATACTGGGTACACGTGCTTTCGTACTCATACTGTTGCACTCTTATTGTTGCAGATTTGATTTCGAGTACGAGCACGTCTCGTGGAGCTTTTTTAGTCCGATCTTGGAGTATCTTGGAGTTGTGGTGAGCTGCTTGGTTGTTCCAAGGCCCACACCTCCCTTTATCTTTTATTTGTTCTGTTGTTTTAGTATTCAGACAGGATATCCCTTATGTTTGGATTTGTCATTTTAGTTTCAGACTTGCATCATATTTAGAATCTCTTGTACTTATGACACAAATTCTTGGGTCGTATTTGTGCTTTCCACATTTCGTATTTATGAAGGACTTAGTATTAGAGATATTTTATTCGTTGTTTACCTCTTACCTCTTTACTTAGTTAAATTGGTAAAATTATTGGGTTGGCTTACCTATCGGTTGGGAACATAGGTGCCATCACGATTTGTAAAATTTGGGTCGTGACAAACATAGAGAAGGTGATGTGACACCTCTCTATGTCCTTATTCATATTTATCTTTTTTCTTCTTTTTTTGACCATTTTTTCCTACATTATTTATTTATTTTATTCTTAATATCTTAAAAAGTCTTCACATTCAATTACTTAACTTTTCACCTACCACTATAAAATATATTTAATATCTTTAATAAAATAAGAAATAATTATTAATAACTCACATATCTTCAACTTATACTCTTAATAATATTCATAGCTCTTTTTTTTTAATCTTCATAACCCCCAAAATTCAATTTATAAGTTTATGTCTTATGGTATTCCTCCTCTTTGTTTATATAAATTCATAATTTTTATCAAGAAAATTGTCGTTCAAAGTTATTCTTTCACTTCTCCATCACCATATCATACATTTGGGTGAGGAAGAAAATGTTAATCATCACATCATATGGTTGCTTTCAGCAAAGTCATAAAGAATCTATGAGTAAGAATGCTTCTATAAAGTTTTTAAATTATACGTATTTTACTTTAACTTATGAGATATTAGTTATTTATTTATTTTGAGTCAATTTAACTAAACTTTGAAACTAAATTAGATAAATTCATGGAGTAACAAATAATTTCATATAAGTATATTTGTGCTTATAGGGATAAAGAAGAAAGTCGAGGAAGATACAAAAGTAGAGAAAATTGTGAATTTCAGAAGAAGATGATGTAGAGTCTTACGATAAAATTATTGTTATAGTAATTTTATCTCTTTAGTTTTTCTTCTTCTCTATTTTCCATTCATGTACTTTTGAAGAACTTAAAATATACTTTAAAATTCTTTTAATTGTAGCTCCTTACATTCTCTTTTTTTCTTAAAGTTGTATTTTGAAAATATAATGGGAAAGAGAATAAAATGATAAGTAAGGCAAATCAAAAGAGTGAGAAAGAAAAACTTGATAAAGAAATCTATTTTATATGACTATAGTTGTACATACATAATTCATTAGGGAAAATTATAATTAGTTCTTGTGAATTTTTATTATGATAGCTTTTTGCAGCATCCTAAAACGAACATTATATACTTGAAGTTTATTGTTTATTTGCATCTTGAAGTGCATTGCTAAATTTGACACTACGATTATAAGTATTTTAAAGATCAAAAATTTAATAACTTATAAAAAAAAAAGTGTTATCCAAGCAATGAATTAAAAAAGTGACAACAAACTAGAGCATTTGTGTATTTCTTAAGAAAAACTAAAGAAACTAAAAACATTATATCAATACTTTCATTTTCAAAAAAGAAAACACAATATATAAGGTCATAAATTTATGTTTTATATAAAACTTGAATGAAACAACACCTCTTTTAACTTTATATTAGAATACATCTTTTTACATTTAAGAATTTTTTATATTTACTCTCGCATTTTAATGCAATATTTAACTTATCTTTTTTGTTTCCTCCTCTTTTTTGGTTTCTCCCTATTTCTATGTAACTAATGTAATAATTAATTAAGAAAAAATATAATAATATTTCCTTGATTATCACTATTAATAACTTATCATTTTGCCAATGTCCTAACCATAGACAAGGTGATATGGCACATCTCTTTACCAAAGATCGTATTTATTTATTTTCTCTTCTTTTTTTTGATAAATTTCACTATATTTTAATTTATTATTATTTAAAAAAGTATCAATTACAACTCTCTCTATTCATTTATAGTATCGTAAAAACTTAAATGTCTCAAAATTTATTATTCCACTTATTCCTATTCTTTGTTGTAAATTTAACAACCTAAATATTTATCACCCCCAACCTTTTATTTCTCCATAAAGAATGAAAAATCTATATATAATGTAAAACTAGATATTAAAAAGTGATTTGACACCTCTCTTTGGCCAAGGATCCTATTTGTTTATTTTTCTCATTTTTATTGTTGTTGTTGTGATTTTCACTATATTTCTATTTATTATTACTATTTAAAAAATGTGTCAATTACTACTCCCTTCATTAATTTCTATTATTTATTGTAAGAATTTAAATATCTCAAATTTTACTAGTCCACTTAATCCTATTTTTTATTGTAACTTTTAAGACATAAATATTTATCACTCAAATCTTTCATTTTCTCCCAAAAGAATGAAAATTCATTAAATTTGAGTAGTCTAATGAAATATTTTTTCAAATAGCTTGAAAAAAAAAAATGCATCCCTTTAACTCTCTTAATTATGAGATTTCTCTTTTTATCTTAATTTTCAAAAATCTAAAAAATACTTACAGTCACTTAAAGAATAAGATAATTACTCACCAAATAAATTTTAAAAAGGGAGAAGTTGTAACTCTCCAAAAAGAATTCTCAACATTCATTTATATTTATTACATTTCATGGTGAACATGATTAAAGTTAGAAATAAGAAAATATTGCACTAGCGAAAAAAAACATTTTTTTCAACTTTTTCCCTATTTTTCCATTTATTTTATTAGTTTATAAGAATAAAAGTCACAATTATTATCATTTATTATCCTAATTTTTCATATTTTTTACTAAATATCAAAACTCATCCACATATTGATTTATGAGATCACTGGTATTCGCTTTTAACTTCTTCATATTTATGTAGTGTTTGGGTTACAAATTTTATTTAGCTTCTATATAAAATTGATATTTCAGCTCTCTTGTGTATTTATTATTTTTAATGTAACTTTCTTACAAACTATTATTCAATTAGTAGATGTCCCTTTGGGACAGACTTCTTCACTATGCTAACATGGATATTCCTTGGTGCACTATTGGTGATTTCAATGTTATCACATCCATGGAGGAGAAGTTTGGGGGAATTCCTTACAATATGAACAAGACTTTTGAGTTTATAAGTGTGATAGAAGCTTGTGGTTTGATTGACCTTGGGTATACTGGAAATCCTTTTACTTGGTGTAACCAAATGGCTGCACAGGCTAGAGTTTGGAAAAGGCTGGATAGATCCATGGTTAATGATAAATGGCTAGAGGTTATGCCCCAAACTACAGTTGAACACCTTCCTTCTGTTGGTTCTGATCACAGTCCCCTCTTGATGGAAATGGTGCAGAAAAATGAAAGTCATACCAAATACTTTAAATTCATGCACTGTGGGTGAAAATGAGAGCTTCATGGACACTGTAAAAACTTGCTGGAATAAAGAGGTGAATGGCAACCCTATGTGGAAATGGCATCAAAAAATGAAAAACCTTATCCCTACTCTTAGCGTATGGTCTAAGAAGGAATATGGGGACATCTATGCTAAGGTGAAAGAGCATGAACACTTGATCAAAGTAGCTGAGGAAGAGGTGATTACTAATAATTCAGAAACTAATAGGCAGAAACTTCACTTCATCAATGCTACCTATATCAAGCACTTGTAACTTGAAGAATCGATTCTTAAACAAAAAACTCAGCTTCAATGGTTCAAAGAGGGGGATGCTAATACCAAGTATTTCCATGCCCTTATGAGAGGAAGAAGGAGAAGGTTACTCATCCACAAAATCTGTAACAATGAAGGGGAATGGATTCAAGGGGACAATAACATAGCAAATGCAGCCTGTGATCATTTTCAAAAAATATTCACAGGCCAGGAGAACAGAATTGATGAAAGAATTCTCCAATATCTCCCTACACTTGTTACTCCTGAACACAATCGAAGTTTGCAGGAAATACCCAGCATGGAAGAACTGAGACATGTAGTTTTCTCTATGAATCCCAATTCAGCACCTGGTCCTGATGGCATGGGAGGGAAATTTTATCAAGTATGCTGGGAGATTATTAAAGAAGATCTGCTTAGTGCTATCCAAGTTTTTTTCAATGGTCAGACTATGCCAAAGTTCATGTCTCATGCATGCCTTATTTTGCTGCCCAAAGTTGATCAGCCAGTAACTTTTCTGAGCTTAGACCTATCAGTCTTAGCAATTTTACTAATAAAATTATTTCCAAGATCTTGAGTATGAGATTGGCTCCCATTTTACCTTTTATTATATCTCAAATCAGTCAGGATTTGTGAGAGGTAGAACATTGCTGAAAACATTATGTTGGCTCAAGAAATCACTACTGGGATCAAGAAACCTAAAGAAGGAGACAATGTGATTATCAAGCTTGATATGACCAAAGCATATGATAGAGTTTCCTGGTCCTACACTTGCTTAGTTCTGAGGAAAATGGGTTTTGGAGAAGTATTCATTGACATGGTGTGGAGAATAATGAGTAACAACTGGTATTCCATTATCATCAATGGAAATAGACATGGTTTCTTTCACTCTACCAGAGGACTTAAACAAGGGATCCACTTTCTCCTGCCCTATTTATTTTAGGTGCTGAAGTACTTTCAAGGACGTTAAATTTGTTGAACTATAATATGACCTACAAAGGTTTCACGATGGACCCCAAAGGGCCTAGAGTTAATCATCTCTGCTTTACAGATGATGTGATTATATTCACTTCCAGCAGCAAACATTCTATTCAGCTGATCATGGACACTTTGACTGAGTATGAAGGTACTTCTGATCAACTTATCAACAAAAATAAGAGTCATTTCATGGTACCTGCAAACACTCCTCAAGACATCATCCAGCAAATCAAGGAGGGTACTGGTTTCACTCAAAAGGACAGCCCTATTTCCTATCTAGGGTGTCCTCTATATATCGGGAGACAGAGAATTATCTACTACTCTCAATTGGTGGATAAAGTGATTAGAAGAATAAGTGGTTGTCAATCCAGACTCCTCAGGGTTGGTGGTAGGGTGACCTTGATCAAACATGTCCTACAATCTATTCCCATACATACCATGGCTGCAACTTCCCCCCAAACACTACTGTCAATTATATGAAATGCATGATTGCTGATTTTTTCTGGGGTAAGGAGAATGACAGAAGGAAATACCATTGGGCTTCCTGGGAATCACTGAGTCTTCCTTATGAGGAAGGTGGTATTGGTGTGAGGAGGCTGACTGACATCTGCACTTCCTTGCAATGCAAACATTGGTGGCTTCTCAGAACCACTGATTTTCTGTGGGGATAATATCTTAAGGCTAAGTATTGTAGAGTGTCACATCCAGCAGCAAGGAAATGGCACACAAGGCAATCCCTAGTCTGGAAGTATATGCTGAAAAACAGAAGCATGATGGAAAACAACATCAGGTGGAAGATCAACTCTGGCAATTGCTCCTTTTGGTGGGATGACTGGCTTGGAGTAGGAGCCCTTGGTAATCTCACCAATGGAATCTCTAGTCAAAATAACACCAAAGTTCTTCATTTCTTAGTTGAAGGAAGATGGAATGAATTCAATCTTAGACAGCAGGTTCCAGCTAGATTTATACAACAAATTCTGAACATAAATATCCAGCTTCAGGAAGGGGTCAAAGATAAGGCCATTTGGAAACCTGCAGAAGATGGCAAGTTCTCCTGCTCTTCTGCCTGGGAAATCTGTAGAATTAAAAAAGAAAAGATCAAGATCAACAGTCAAATTTGGCATAAATGCATTCCCTTCAAAATCTCATTTCTAATGTGGAGGGTACTTAGACTCAAGTTGCCCACCAATGATAGAATCATCAAATTTGGAGTGGATCTGGCTAAGTGTTCTTGCTGCATCAGACAAGGATGGGATGATATAGATCACATATTTTCAGCTGGACACTTTGCCAATTATATTTGGAAGTACTTTTTAGGTCTGTTTGGTGTTACCTATAAGTACACACCTATGAAGAATCTCTTGCTAAAATGGTGGAGTATACCTCATAGAAATGAGGCTCGCAAGCTTCTTATTCAAGTTGTCCCTCTACTAGTCTCCTGGAGTCTATGGAAGAATAGATGTAGTGCTAAATATGGAGGTAAGCAGTCCAACATTGCAAGAGTCAAAATAATGGTTCTTAAAGACACTAGCCATTTACTCCAAACTGTTTTTCCCTATGTACATTGGTCTATGAATTGGAATGATCTTATGGGGATGATTGAGGGATGCAAGCATGATGTCAAAGTCATTCCAACTATCTGGGAAAAACCTCCTCCTAATACTTTTAAACTGAATATGGATGGTAGCGCCTTAACCAATCCTGGCAGAATAGGAGGAGGGGGTATCCTAAGAGATGATACATGGGATATTGTGTATGCATTCACAATTTCACTTGGCATTGGAACCAACAACGTAGCAGAATTACAAGCATCAATCTATGGCATCAAATGGAGTATACAACATGGTTACAACAGACTTATCTTGGAAGTGGACTCTAAATTGGTTACAAGATGGATCATCACCAACAGCAAGCCACCATGGAAACTGGTGCAGGCAGTAACAGAACTCCAGAACCTGATCAGTCAGTGTGAGTTTTTTCAATGCAGACACATCTACAGAGAAGCCAACTGCACTGCTGACTTCCTCTCTAAATGGAGCCATCAATTCAACAGAATCCAGCATTTTTATACCTGCCAGCAACTCCCTCCAGCAGCTAAAGGCAGTTATCTTTTGGAGAAAATGGGGATGACCAATTTCAGAAGAAAGAAACTCAAGAGAATCAAACATCCACCTTAAACCTATTTCCCTATGATACCTATAGAAATTTCTATAGTTTTTGTTTCCCCTACCCTTTTCAGTTTGGCTATGGTTATTGGTAATTATAGCTATAGTGAATAGGCTTAGATTTTTTATTCTCCTTGTAAGGGGAGAGTCTCCCTTATTTAAATTTCGTAGTGGATATGTAAAGAGAGTAGTCCTCTCTTAGGTGTCTTCTTTGATTTTCTTTTAGATTATGGGGATGAGTAGGTTAACCTTAGTAGGATAACGAACTTGGAACCACCATAGGTGGAGGTAAGGTTTATACCCCCCTCCTTGTACTTTTGTTTCTATTTATGATAAGGCCTGGGGGTGTTGCTAAGCCCCTAACCCCCTCAAGGGTCGTTCAAAATAAAAATTAAAAAAAATATTAGTAGATGTGTGAATTGAATATAACTTCTACTTCCTTTCTTGAATTTAGAATTACACTTTCTATACTTTTCATATGAAAGTATTGTGTGGATATATAAAAAGTTTAGGCTATTAATTTTATTAGTTGCACTAATCGATATGCTCATATTTTAAAGTAATAGCTGTGAAAAAATTAAATTACAAGTAAGAGAAAATACATGAAATCTAAATTTAAATAGTTAAATAAATTTATAAGGGAAAATATATTATATAAATAAATTTATTACTAAAATAGCATAAATAATTTAAAACACCAAAAACTGAGATGGCGACGTATATAAAATTGGCGCATAAAAATGTGTCTTTGTATTTCTCCAAGGGCAAATTATAATTTTCTTTTTTTTCTTGAAACTAATTTAATTTTATCTCTCTCTCTCTCTCTCTCTCTATATAATATATATATATATAGAGAGAGAGAGAGAGAGAGTTTTTAGTATTAAAAATTCTTAATTTCTTTTATATCAACTAAATATAGATAAATATGACTGCGCAAAGCGCGGTTTGGTTAACTAGTTAATCAATATATTTGAATTGATAAGCACTCCCATGGTATAATATTTAGCACGGTTTCAGAAAATAACAAAATATTAATTATTTGATCGATAACAATAAGAAATGTTTATTATAAAATAAAATGTTTTCGTAAACAATATATTACTACTCTATATAAACTATTTTACATTGCATTATATTAGATTCTCAAAATTTTTGAGTGCAAAGAATAGCCATATTAATGATTAATGATGTAACTTAATGTTAAATTCTTAAATATAAATCATATTACCTTGTTACAATAAAAATATTCAAATTATTATTTTCAATAAAAAAAACTATTTTACTAAAATGAGGTTTTTATAATATTTTATTAATATAGCGTTTAATTTCATATGCACGTTCAGATATTGAAAACAAACAGTCCAAATAATTCAGTGTTCAGATTTAGAGCCAACATCTTAATATTCAGATGTGTATTCAAATTTATACATCTAGATCTTAATGCACATTTTAATATTCAAATGTGTATTCAGATTTAGACGTCTTAATCTTAATGGAAACAAATGAGGCCTTAGTGATTCTGTCCATTAGCACCCAAATGGATTCATGTCGTCTGCGAGTACGAGATAAATCCATAATGAAATTCATGTGTATCACTTCCCACTTCCACGTAGGAATGTTAATCTCTTGAGTCACACCTCCTGGTTTCTGATGTTCTACTTTAACCTGTTGACAATTATGACACTTAGCCACAAAGTCTGTGATGTCTCTCTTCATGCCATTCCACTAAAAGACTTCCCGTAGATCACGTTACAAATTAGTGGCACCCGGATGAATAGAATATCTGAAATTATGGGCTTCTATAAGGATATGCTTCCTTAACTCACTTACATAAGGAACACATAAGCGACCCTGGTAACGAAGCACACCATCTCACACTTGGGAGAAAACCTCAACTCTCTACTGATAAACAACACCTTTCAACTGAAGTAATATAGGATCACTATCCTGTTTTACCTTAACCTCTGCTACCAATGAAGATTTTGACCCATTCTAAACTATCACACCACCATCTAACGTGTCCATAAGGCAAACTCTTAAGTGAGCAAGCCGGTGAACATCTTTGGATAATTCTTTCTTCTTCCTCGACATGTGCCACACTACCCATGGATAGTCTGTTGAGGGCGTTAGCCACTACATTGGCCTTACCCGGATGGTAGAGCACATTCATGTCATAGTATTTGAGGAATTCAAGCCATCTCCTCTGACGAAGATTCAACTATTTTTGGGTGAACACATACTAGAGGCTTTTATGATCTATGAACACCATACAAGTAGTGTCTCAAAATCTTTAGGGAAAACACTACGGTTGTAAGCTCGAGGTCATGAGTCGTGTAGCTCTTCTCATGGACCTTAAGTTGTCCAGAAGCATAAGCTATGAGCTTACCTTATTGCATCATAACACAACCTAGGCCGACCCTGGATGCATCACAATAAACCACATAACCATCTTAACCATCTAGTAGAATCAAGACACGAGCTGTAGTCAACCTGGTTTTCATTTCTAAAAAGCTTTTCTCATACTCCTATGACCATTGAAACTTGACCTTCTTCTGAGTCAACTTGGTCAATGGGGCAACTATGGATGAAAATCCTTCAACAAACCTCCTATAGTAACCAGCCAATTTCAAGAAACTTCTGATATCAGTCAAAGAGGTGGGTTTGGGACAGTGTTGTACTGCCTCAATTTTCTGAGAATCCACTTGGATCCTTTCGTTGGATACCACATGACCAAGGAAAGCAACCGACTGTAACCAGAAGTCACATTTGCTAAACTTAGCGAATAGCTAGAGATCTTTTAGGGTTCGCAGAACAACTCTTAGATGAGTCGCAGGCTCTTCCTCACTCCGAGAATAAATGAGGATATCATGAATAAAGAAGATGACAAACAATTCCAAATACTGTTTGAAACCTTATTCTTTAAGTCCATTTGTTAGTCCAAAATACATAACTACAAATTCATAGTGACCATACCGAGTCCTAAAGGTTGTCTTCGGGATGTCACTATCTCTGACTCTGAGCTGGTGAAAGCTGGATCTGGAGTCTATCTTAGAAAAGCAACTAGCACCCTGAAGTTGGTCGAACAATTCATCAATCCTGGTCATGGGATATTTTTTTCTTGATTGTGACATTGTTCAACTGACAATAGTCAATGCACATTCTAAGAGAACCATTTTCCTTTTCACAAACAAAACTTGAGCACTCCATGGAGAGATACTAGGTCTGATGACGCCCTTATCTAGAAAGTCTTTCAACTGTTCTTTCAATTCCTTAAGCTCGGCTGGAGCCATTTTGTAAGGAGGAATCGAAATAAGCTAGGTATCTGGAAGGATATCTATTACGAAGTCAATTTCCCTTTCGGGAGGAACTCCGGGGAGATATTCTCGTAATACTTCTAAAAACTCATTTAAGACTGAATTGACTTAAAAGTCGGGGTTTCAGAGTTTGAATCCTTAACCCGAACAAGATGATAGATATACCCTTTGGAAATCATTTTCTTGACCTTA